CCACACCTAGTCAGCGGGGTGAGTAGTTTTGAACTTGGCTCTCCCTGACTCTAAAGCTCATGATCTTTTATACCCCACTTCATGCATCTTCATTAACAAGGCTCTAAGAGAAGATTTTGGTCATTTTTCTGAGATGGAGGCTGTTAAACAGTTCATCTATGTGTGAGCCCAGCAATGGAAACACCAAATCGACATGAAGCAGATGGCAGGAAGGGAAATGATTAAGTTCCTCTGAATCTTTCCTGTTCTCAGATGACAGTGGAATTCAGAATGGCTGGGTACAATTTTCCTTGAGAAAAGGGTTTCAGGAGGGGTGCTACTGTGTTCCCTTCTGACCCCATCTCTGTGGTTAAATAAGGGGTGAGCTGAGGGTAAATACCTGTGAGGACTGACAGGTGCCTGAGAGAGTAACATCTAGTGATCCTGCTCCTAGACTCCTATTTCTGCTCAGAGACCAAGAACTTGAGTTCCAAGTTGTAAGTCTGCACATTCTGGACATGGAAGCAAGGATCTTAGGAGAGACGAGCACAGAGAGACAGAAGCTTTCTTTCTCCTCCCACCACAGCTAAAATTATGAAAGAGGGGCAATGGGTCTGCTCTAAGCCCCCTAGTGCTCTTGTTCACTTTTGCATCGTCTTACTACAATAACCACCACAGATTTTTCTATTTCTGAAAAATAAGCCACACCATAAAAATATTCTGTTCACCTACCTCAATTTTAATTCATAGTGATTTAGAAGGCATTAGGAAAAAAGCTGTTGCAACTGAACTAACTCTCATGTGCAAATGATTGATTTGTATATTCATTTATATATCAAACACACACACACATATAAACAACTGCATTGCTTATGTTAGCTAGTCACTATTCTAGGAATAGGGGCTCCTAAATAGAAAGAAAACTGAAAGGTCAAAGTTTCTGCTCCTATGGACCTTACATTTTGGTGGGGAGAGTTAGTTGATAGTAACATTCAAAGATAAGCCAAAAGTAATAAATAGAGAAGCTACAGAAAGTAATAAATACAGAAACTAGGGTGATATAATACAGAGGAACTGGATGACCACATTACATTGCCTGGTTAAGAAGATCTCACTGAAGAACTGACGTTTAAGATGAAAGATAATTGAAGACAAACTTCCATTCTTGTGTAAACGAAGAGAGGAGTATTTTAGACAGCTGGTGCAACCTGAGAAAGGAGGGGACTTGGTGTGTGGAGGGCAGTAAAAAGGCCAACGTGGCTGAAGAGCAAGGAGGAAAACAAAACAGACGGTAGGCACGGCCTGTAGGTCACTGTGTGCAGAATTTATCCTGAGTGAAGCAGGAAGCCATGGAAAGTGAAGCAGGTGTGTCGTCTGGCTTACATCTTCAGACCACCTCTAGCAGAAGCACAGAGACAGATAGGAGGCTACCGCAAGCCTCTGAGTTAGAGTTAAGTGGGTCTGATCAAGACGTATGTTAGAGGAAAGGGTTTCAGAAACTAACCATGAATCAGCCGTGGGGTAGGAGAAAGGGAAAGAAGGGCACCTGGGTGGGTGATGATACTGGTGCCCTGAGAAAGGCAAGATCCGGGAAGAACAGGTTTTGTTGAAGGACAAGGCAGTCAGGCAGTGGAAATCAACAGTTCTATTTTGGACATGGTAATTTTGAGCTGCAAATTACACATCCAGCATCAATGTAGAGAAGGCAGTTGGTATATGAATCTAGAACTCAGGGGGAAGTTGAGACTGGAGGGATACTTTTGGTACTCACAGGTGAGTGGATGGCATCTAAGCCACAGAGGCTGGGGTGGTGGCTCAAATAAGAGCAGGGGCCTGGAGAGAGGGGGCTGGAAAGCAGGCAGATAGACAGTTCAGGAGGGCCCTCCCCCCTTTTTCCAGACAGGTAGCTCTGTAGAAGGTGATCAAGAAAGGCTCTTCCTCCACTAAGGGGCATGGATCTTTAAGCTCTTGAAAATACCTTAAGGGGTGTGAAGACCCTTCTGAATCCTCTGCCAGTTGATTACAGTGAGTATTTGCTACAAGTTGGTGTGAGGAAGACTTTTAATGAAACATGTAGACATTTATCCTGCCTTAAGGCAGGAGGACTAGTGAGGAAGTGTTCAATGCCCATCAGGCTGTCACAAGCTAGGAATCCAAGTCTCACCTAGAAAGAGGCGGCAGCATATCAGACAAGAGCCAGGAGCCCGTATACATTAGGGAAAGTGTCAAGACATCAGCCTAAAGAAAAAACCAACTGGTGGCAGGCTAGCAGTGAAGAGAGGTCACTTCCTTTTTACTTCTTCTGCCTGTAACTACTGAGATTTCTCTTGGGGGATAATAGCCTTTTTTTTTTTTTTTTTTTTTTTTTTTGAGGAGTGAGGACCTATGATAAAGCACTGCTATGAATCAGCAGGATTAATGAGAACGGAATAAAGTCAGAAATATTATGTTCATGCAACATCATCTTCAATTTGCACAGTTCTTTTTGGAGGGGGGGTGTCTGTATGCATATGATTGTCTGAGACTACCCGTGGTTGTTGGGAGCATGCTGCACTGTTATTACAACAAATTATAGGAAGTCTCCCAATAACAGAGCAAAGATATCTGTTTCCCAATGGGAAGAATTTATGGCAGTGTAGGGAAACCATTTTGACAACTAATGGTTCTGGTGCATTCTCCCCAACAGATTTTCTTGTCCCTTGTTACCCCTGCCTGGGTTCTGAGCCGATTTTAAAAGTGGTAGAACAAATGATTCCTCTAACACTAAGATTTACCACATGTTCATTTCATGTTACAGAAAATTTTTGTTAATCATATGACCGCAACACTTTTTAAGAGTTTACTGATACAAGGGATACACAGAGCACATTGAAAGGTTGGTATATATAAAAAAAGAGCCACTTTCAAGGTACTGAGATGAAAGGTTGGGAAATTAGAAAACAGAGAAAAGTTGGGAAATTAGAAAACAGTGAAAGGTTGGGAAATTAGAAAACAGTGGTTTGATGTAGAAAAAGCACTTTTACAAAATCCTGTTGAAAGCAAGAGATGGATTTGTTAGGGCCAATTGCTGACTTTTCAGAAAGGCAGACTGATTTTGCATAGCTGCCACAAGAGACCAAATTTTGCCTTCGTCATCACCATGCATACATTTCTCCCTAGGGGTGAAGTCATGGCTCACCGTATGTGCTGACTTGGGCACCATTTGATATAGTGACTTAGGCTACTGGGAAAAGTGGTTCCCACATGTACTTCCTATGACAGCCTCTGACAGAGCAATGGAAAATCCTAATGCTTAGTTCCTTTGGGGGTGTATGTATTCTCTAAACAAAGCAAATTTAAATATGAGTATGTGGAGTTTTACTTCATGCTTGGTTAATTTCTGGTCATTTTTAGAAAAAATTCAAAATGAAGACCAAATGTGGAATTGCTAGAACACAGCCGGGGTTGGGAGGAAGTTTGAGTTCTGAGGCTCAGCAGTCAACTAGAAGGCTTTGCACAGCTCTGCTCTAAGGTGGGGAGTAAAAGTAGTTCCTAAACCCCCTGGATCCTCCATGAACTCAGCTGCACACCAAAACCATGCCAGACTTCTTAATCATGAGTCCCAAATGATCAGTTAGATGGATAATATCAAGTGCTATGGCTGACACATCTAAATTTAGACACCTTACCCCTGGTCACTCAAGGATGAAGTAGCCCGTAATATGTGGGCCAGACCACCCTCAGCTACTCAGTGAAATAAGAATCACAAAAGCTGCTCCTTCACTGCATTCGTTCTGTGTTGCAGATGTTTTACTAGATACATAATTTATCGGTGTTTTCACCAGCCCTTACTATAGTTCTGCAAGCTCAGTATGGTTATACTTATTTTATATATGAAGACATGGAGGCTCAGAGAGTTTCAATAACTTATCTATAGTCACTGAGATAATTAACTGAATGGAAAAGAACAACTAGTAAATTCAAGTAAAGAGACACATGAATGGAACTGTACTTGCTTTTAGACGCAAAACCAAAAGCCAGAGTTGTGATTATGAGTATTAGCAGACTCTCAGCAGCAGGCTCAAGGCCGTGGAAAATGAATGCCACTGCAGCAGGGCTATGTTCCCCTCCAGTCCCGCCTGCTCCCAAGCCTACTGTAATTCTTGTCCTTGACCTGAACTTGGTAGCATGGAAGACTCAAACAAGGCTATGTGTTTAAGATGTCAATGAGTCCTGGGAAGTAGGGCCAAGAACGTCAATCACAATAAAGTCTGATGAGCTTAAATACACATTTCTGGGTCCTTCCTCTATATGCAATTTCATAGGCCACTGGTGGGGTCAGGCATTTGCATTTTAAAAACAAGCTTCCACTTAACTTTGATGCCTACTACAGTTTGAAAATTACTGCTATCAATATTACATTCGGGAGGACGATGTCTTACTCAGAAAACTGAGCAAACATAGGAACCACAGTTTCAGGCTGGGAAAAAAGTCAGCTTATGAGGAATGCATAAACCGATGTCCATGAAGTAGATATCTTGGAAAAGGATAACTTTTCCTGTCCTGACTCATGTCTACTTCCTTTTAATTATCCCCACACAGAATATTGTAGCAAGTCTTCTGTATTTATCAGAGTTACCTGCCAAAAATCAAGTTTTATGAAAATCATCCAAATTTCACTATTCAAAAGGCAGGAAATTTCCTGTTAAAGAGGGTTTTGTAATTTTGTTTTGTGTTTCTGAAAGTGCTAACTGTAAAGGGCAGCTGATCTATCAATCCATCACATCACCTGTCCCCTTCATGCAGGCCCTCCAGCCCCCTGGGAATTTTTTCCTGTCATCATGATGAGACCAAACAGCTTTTGAATCTTGAGAAATGCCATGACAATGTTCTGGAAGTGACATTACTTAAATCTCCAGGCTCTCATCTTTCATAGACCTATTTTGTTATAACAACCCTTGAAATTATAGGAAAGAAAAGGTCAGAAAGGCAAGTGAGCTTCAACTTCTGGGGTAATAATCATAGAGGAATGTGTTCTCTACCTGGCACTGAAGTCCCAAGAGCGACGAATACCACGGCAGTCACAGAATCCTTCAAGCCGATGGTGCAGCCGAAGTGGGAAGCCAGGTCTCCTATGAAAGCTGTCAGCAAGCCGATCATGAGGATGGAGACAATGAAGCACGCCCAGCCATTCCAGTATTCTGTAGGGGGGACGAAGGCAAAGAGCACCTTCCAGAACACAGTCAGAAAGTGCATCACGTAATCAAAACAGGAGGGCAGCTTCTCCTCTCCACATTCGTCATCGTCATCATCTTCCCCTAGAGAGAAAAGAATGGAGCACATTTCATCAACCACGCTGTGGGGTTTCCTCTCTCTCAACCCCTCCTTCCTAGGCCCTCATCCCTCCCCTGAGTGCCGTGGAGGCCATCAGAGGTGGGGGAAGCTTAGTGTCTTCCAAAGCCAATCATCATTAAGCAATTAAGGCATTGACATACTCCCTGGTGCATGGGCCAGTGGCACAAACTTTAACACTCATCAGGTTTCCAGTTCTATTACACCAGTGAGATTTGTCAGCTCAGAGAAATGGCTTTCTTCCAAATGGCTGGAAAGCCCTGTGCTAGGCTCAAAAAGGAGACCCACTTGAAGAAAGGTAACTGGGTAGAGTTCCTCTACCAAGGTTCTTTTCTTCAGGTTGGGAGGTCAACTTTGGGGGATTTATGGTGATAAAATCAGCCACAGGACTCTATAGAGGAATCAAACAGGGCCCTCAGTCATGCCTCTGGGCCCTGCACATTTCTCCAGCTTCATCTCCTGCAGCTATTTCAAACTCAAACTTCATCCTAGCCAAGTGAAATTATTTACATTGAAAAAAAAGTACCATCTCCTACTTTTGTCCTTTAGAACAAGATGTACTTGGCATACCCCCCTTAGCTTTCCCCACTCACCTCCTCTTTTATTTTATTTTTTTTTAAAGATTTATTTTTATTTATTTATACAAGCACTGGGTACAGTTAGAAGCGCAGGAGAGTGAGAGAATTCACCAGAGCCAGAGCGGGGAGCAGAGCAGGCAGAAGGACCGAAGCACACTGCTGAGGGGAGCAGCGGGCGGCAGGAGAGGTCTGCGCGCCATGTGGGACCCTCCTCCGGTGGCCGGGGAGCAGCCAGGGATCGAACCAGTGCTGCAGAGGCTGCGGGCAGCTTCACAACCCAGCGCTCAACTGCTGCACTACCGGCGAGGCCCTCACCTCCTCTTTTAAACCTTCTCTGACTCTCCCCCGCCGTGCCTTTCAGTCAGTGCTGGGAACCCCTCCTCAGAGCTTCCATAACCCTAGAGTAGTGGTTCTTAAAGTGTGGTTCTTGGACCAGCACTATCAGCATTACCAGGTGAGTTGTTAGAAATGCAAATTCCTGGTCCCACTGAATCAGAAACTAAAGGAGTGGGTGGCAGTGTACAGCAATCTCTGTTTGAACAAGCCCTGCAGTAATTTGAGACTCAGTCTCAAGATTTGCTTGTTCACCCTCCTCTTCTTCAGTTGCCTATGAGCCCTTCAAAGGGAGGAATTTGTTCGTTTTTGTGTCCCTAGTATTTACTTCCATCTCCAGCACGTGGAAAAGCTGGGGAAATGCTTGTAAGTCCGGATGAATACAGGTATGAATCTCTACTAACTTTAAAGACTTAATTCCATAACATATGCACATATATCACAATTTTCAAATTACATCATACTATCAAAGCACAAAGAAATGCACAAAACTTACTATTTAAAGGAACCAGAAAATCATCGTTTTCTAAAACAGAGACTTCATCTGTAATGCTGTAGTGCCAGCAACCACAGGGCAGTTTCTCTATCAGTTCAGGCAGAGGGAGGGTCCCAGGGTCCTTGGTGGTTTTTCCACGCTTTAGAGCTTTCTATGCCACCAATTGTTATGGGGCAACCAGACACAGGGAGGGCAGGGGAGCCAGGAGCCTGGCAAATGTCCCAGCCCCTAGCGAAAATTTTGAGCTTTCTCTAGGCTCTCACTGGCGTTCCCTCGTGGGCTCCTCTCGTGGCAGCTCTGCCGTAGCTGTCTGAGTGATGCTGCCCTTTTATCCCCTCCCTCCTAGGCACAGGTGTGCACACTTGCACACACGCACACAACACCCATGCTCAGGTGTCCATAATCAGGTACATGTGCCCTACACCCAGCAACTTCTATGTTAACAAGATCAAAGCTGCAGGTGATAGCCATAGAGGCCAATGGAATAAAAGCCAGATCATCTTAATTTACCCTACAAACATGATAATAATTCCCACTCACATTATTATTTTTTTTTTGCGTAGAAGACCTGGGGTACAGGCCAGAGGTGCAGGGAGTGAGAGTATCCACCAGAGACAGAGTAGGGAGCAGAATAGGCAGATCCACTAAAATACACTGCAGAGAGGAGCAGCAGGTGAGCGAGGAGAGGTGTGCTGTGCCATATGTGGGTTAGCTCCCTGGCCAGGGATCCAAATCAAGCTTTATTGGTGATAGGGCTGAGATTTAAGCCCTAGGCCACCAGGAAGGCCCTCCACTCACATATTTTAAAATTGGGTATTGAATGTCAATTGAATTCTTCAATTGAATTCTTCTTTAAGTTGTGGCAAGTATATATTCATATGTTTTATGGAAAAACTTCTTGAGGACTTTGCATACCACCCCCAGCTCCCAAACATATTCACCAGAGATCTGCTTTCCTTTAACTAGTACAGCTGGTAGAAGGAAAGGTTGGCAAGGTTCCTGTTGACTGTGTGAGCTGATGTTGCAGGTGCATAGCAAATGCCTGTGCCCTTCATGAGACACTCTGTGGTGAGGCCATCTGGTGCAGCTCACAATTGGGAAAGCCCTCTTCGAGAGCAGCTTTGAGGGAAAAGTGCCACTCGTGAAACATGAAAAGAGGGATGTCTGGATTTTTCACCTATCATCTTATAGGAAGAAAAAGGAGGCAAATGCCCACTCCGGTGAACACATGATCAGAATTCCTATGTAGATAAGCTTTGGGTCTCTGTGAAGAAAGCAGCCTCATCTCTCAGGCACTGGAGGATCTCCAGCTATCTGCTGAGAGGAAGCTCCTGGAAGATGAATGGAATCATCTTTGGGGACTAAGTGGGGAACATGAATCAGGTTAGCTGACTGAACAGGGTGGACCCACTGGAGTGGAAAGTACTGCCAACCAGATCAACACAATTAAACGAGGAGGCCAGTAGACTGAGGGGCTCTAATGCCTTGGTAGCCTACATAAGCAAAGCAAAATCCAAGCCACAGTCAATTCCTGTAAACACACTTGTACCTGAGAAAACAAAATTTAAGAACAGCCAAGCTCAGCTACCTCAACTTTCCCAAATAAGGTAACTGCTTAAGCTAGAGGAAATCGGATCACTCCCTTGTTTCACTTCCATGTCTAGTATGTAAAAGCCTTTTCCTTAGCTCCTACAGCGGGGCTCCTCACCACTTTTGGTTTGGCACTGCCCAAACGGAATTCATGTTTGCTCAAATAAACTCGAAAATTTTAATGTATACCTCAGTTTATATATTTACCAACCCCTTCCTATAGTGCTCATGCTGTCTGGTTATTATGTATTTCCATATAAATGTCTTCTGTTTGAAAGAAGATGATTTAAATAAAGGTCCATGTTTGGGGCTGAATTGTGTCTCCTCCAAATTCAGAAATAGGGCCTTTAAGGAGAGAATTAAGTGAAAATGACTGTGGGGGGGCGGGCAATTCAATCTGACTGGTATCCTTATCAGGAGAGTAAATTGGGAGCCAGGGAGAGAGACCAGGGTTGTGTGCACATAGAGGAAAGGCCTGTGAGCTGAGAGGTGGTGAGGAAGCAGTCCTTCCTTCTCCCAAGTCAAGGGAAGAGCCCTCAGGAGAAACCAATTTTATAAACATCTTGATGACTTCTGTGCTCCAGACTGTAAGAAAATAGATTTCTATTATTCAAGGTCCCCAGTGTGTGGCATTTTGTTATGGCGGCCCTAGCAAAGGCACACTGGGCCCCTGGGACACTCCCACGCCACATCATTGAGATGAGGAACAACCGCTCAGTGTTTCTATTAGCAGTTCTGTGCTCGTTACATTATTCATTTCTTCTCTTTTTCTTCTTTCACTTTCTCCCATTTCGTTTGAACCTTCCACTTTCGCTCCAGGTAGAACTCACTCATGACAAAAACTACAATTGCCAGGTGGACATTTTGTAATTTCAAAATAAGCTATATGATTAAAAGTTTGGAAGTCACTGAATTCTAATCAATCAGTCACACAAAGCACACAAAGACAAATTATTCTGCCTCCAACTCTACAAAATTACTTAATTTGGGGTGTCGAAGCCTCATATTGTGAAGATGAATAAGAAAACAAATAATGAATCTTTTCAGGAGAAATGACACTTATGAATTGAGAGCAGATATTATATTTGTCTTCAAGATAGAAGTACTAACACCTTTTCCATGAGAGCTGTGCAGGGGGAATAATTCGATCATCTCTGCAAAGTGTTTGAGGGTATTTCAAGATAATTATTATCATGGTAGTTATAATTATTTTCCTCTCCTTAGGATTGTCACGTGTTTCCCATTCACTATTTAATTGCCTAGTCAACATACGGGGTCCTCAGGTTAGATTCTAGAATTTTGAAGTCAAAACTTAACTTTGCCCTCTAGAATTAACTTCATGATCTATAAGTGTGTGGCTCAAAATGTGTGTGTGTGTGTGTGTGTGTGTGTGAATGATAGAGGAAAGGGAGAAAAGATTTCCTTCTGTTGGTTCCCAAATTTTATAGATCTTAATGCCTACATCCAGAATAGAGGTCCATCTGATTGAAAGATGAGGTTTTCAGTACTTTTTTCAGAGACCACACTACTCTGTATATTTCCATTTCCAACTCAGATATTATTTAAATATTCAGATGACCACTGACTGCCATGCTTGATGCATAATTACCCAGTCTTGGAGAAAAACAAAGAAATATTATATTCATCTATCACCATCTGGACTATACTTAAGTCTGTTCCTTGCAAATAGCAGTGGAACATTAAAAACAACATAACACCTGGGAACATCTTTTATGTGAATGAAAAGGAGATAGTAATCTGCCGGTTCTGTATACTTTCCAGCTCAGGGTTACCGGATGCTACATAATTCCACCAAGTCCTTCCTCTGTAGGCAAAGAAACTGGCAGGCTGGAGGGTTTCCCCTTATAGGATGCCAAGTGAAGTATACTCTTATCTCAGAATCCTTTTCAGCTTTATGGATTGCACTAATGGAAAGATAAACGATTTGATTAATCCCTCCCATGGCCTT